ATGGAATCTTTCCAAATTGGTTTTTTTTTTTTTTTTTTTTTTTTTGCTGTTGTCTGTACAATCTTTTGTGAAGACTGTTGTACTAATAATTGAATGAGCTACCACTTTTTGTCTACTATTGTCTTAATGATTTCAGAAATACTCACTCCTATATGTTGAGTGAAAAAAGCATACTGTGGTGGAGGTTTCACATGCCATTTTATATGTCATCAGACGGCTCCTTCCTGTCTAAGTGGGCGGCTCTTGGCTAGAATTCATCAATAGTAAACAGTATGGCTTGTGAAATCAACTTAAGGTCACAGAAACCATAATTGATTGTAAAATATGAAAATAAAATGAAATAAAATTTTCTCTGTAATCGTTTCGTTTTCTGTAGTATTTCAATGCATACTATTGCACCAATTTAGTTTACTACATCTTTGCTTTTTTCCTCAATATTTTCCTTTTAGGCAATGAAAATATTGAATTTACTTTAAATAAAAACCGGTATTCGGTATGAACCGGTATACCGCCCAGCACTACTTTAATTTTCGTTAAAAAATTGACAAATTTGGTTACGATTATTTGGTATGGTACTGCAGTAACCTTTGTGCTTGCGCAGGAAGTCGATGCTCTTCTGTAGGATGGTAGACTTGTCCATCTTGCGGGTGTTGCCCGGCAGCATGGTGCCCAGTTCCTTGATGAGCACATTGAACTGGTCTCGCCTCTTCTTCTCCGACTTGTTCCTAGAAACTCTGTAGGTGGAAAAACAAGACGTGGAAAATTCCAGTGGAAATCAATTGCTGACTTCCAGATAATAGAGTAATAACATAATTTAATCGCTATTTCAGAAGTTTTCGAAGTCACAGTTAAGCACTAAAATACACATCATCTTTTAATTATCTTAAATTCTACAATTTACTCCTCAAAATGATAATGGGACGCTATCTAATCTGAGAAAAATCTGGCAGTGCTGAGAGAAACCATTTCACAGTTCTGTGACTGTATACAGAAAATGAGGGTGAAGCTGTGCACTCAGGTTTAAACAGTCATAACTAGGTCACACTTAAGTTTCTATTCCTGGTGCAAAACCACTTTAGATCTACTACCATGAAAAAGGACTTGTCTATACAATCCTCTGGTGTAATAAATCATGTTTAAACCACTCTTACATGAGATAAAGGAATAAAGGGTTGGCTCATAACAGGAGTTCGACTCAAGGTAAAAGAAAGGAAATTCCCGTTGAGGAATCATAATAATAATCATAATGTTTTGCTTGTCTAATTACCGTTTTGCTTTGTCCTTCTCATCTTCTTCCATCAACCCATCAAAGATGCTGCTGTCATCCCTGAAAAGAGAGCCATAGTAAAAGAGGTTAGGCCATCTTGACCAATGCGAGCTCTGCTCAGCTGTGTGAGTTGCCAATTAAAAGACAGTTTCACTCCTCATCTGTTCCAGTGTTTGTAATCACAACAGCATTCATTATGTTAACATTTTAATATTTGAGGCTGAACCATTTATTCAAAGGGATTGTATCTCGAAAATTAGCAAAGGCACCGAGGCTTCAAAAAGGACATAATAAGTCTAAAGTCATTTTCATTTACTGTTAAAAAATTACTCATGTTATTCCAAACACATAAGACCAAAATTCTGAACTGAAGCTTCAAGAACCTTCATAAAGACATAGTAAAACTAATCCACATGAATCAAACACTTTAATCCAAGTCTTCTGAAGAGACACAATGACTTTATATGATGATTATATGATTCTATGACTTCATATATGACCATATATAATTTAGGCTTTCATTCACATATACACCTTTAGAAGCTGTTGGAATGAACTTTCAGTGGAGAGACAAAAATCTCCTAGGTTTCACTGTGTATCGAAGATAAACAAAAGTCTTATGTGTGTGGAATGACATGAGGGTGAGTAACTGATAACAGAATTTACCTCTTTATCTCTTTAACTGCTGAAACTGAATCATTGAGTCAGAACTAAAGAACCGGTTTTGTGAACTGCATCGACAGATTCACTGAAAAGATCCAACTCAAAAGAACAATTCATTCCTGAATCAAATATTGTTGACAAACCTTTCTGTTCCCATTCATTGTAATTGCATGGAAAAGAGCGACTCAAACAATCTCCAACATTTTGTGTTTCACAGAAAAAATACAATCACACAGGTTTGGAACCACATGAGGGTGAGTAAATGAGCAAATGAATGAGGAAAATGTGCAAGCCTTTTCTTTTGACACCCCACAATATTTAATCATAATCAGATCATGCAATAAATCATTGATTAAGCCGGCAGTAGGTCAGCGGCGGAGGTGGATATAAAGGCCTGTAGGGGCGCTGTGTGTGTCAGTATATATTTAGATACCCAGTGTTCTCCGACTCAGCCGCTTTGAGAGCACAAGACAGAAAACGAGACCAGCTGGTCATGGCAAGGGAACTGAAATCAGTTTGTAACGGTCGTGATTGGGCTTTGATTTCATGACTGATGTCACAGCAGCTTCTCAGCTCCAAAGCAGTATGGGTTTGAAATGACAAGGGGTTGAGTAAATGGCAGCTTTAATTTCTGGATGAGCTCTTTAAGGTCATCTCAACACGACAATATTTTTAGTCTTTTTTAGCCTTGAGATAATTGGTCTTTTGCACAGGGTGTACAAAATGTGCATCTGTCTTTGGAAGGGCAGAGATCACAATGACCTTTCATTTGGTGCGTGCAAGTACAGTGATGCACGCACACGATCGAATGAGTGTTTTTATGTGTGCGAGACGAGACTGTATGAATGTGTATTTGCAAAGTTGCGAGATTAAAGAGTGCAAACAACAGGCTGGGTAAATAAAACAGTGTGCATTTTGCTCTGCCACTGGGTGTCCATTACCACAATTTTACATAAACAATTCAGAGTTTTCCTCAGTCCATTTGCATCAAGGGTTGTAGGTGTATGACGACGTGTTTGCATAAGGAAGCACCCGCTGCTCTAATAATGCCATATTATATGGTCAGTTTTATTATTATTTTATTTTATTGCTGTATGTGAAAACTGCATTTTCAATTAAAATATGAAGTCACACAGGAAATAGAAAAAGAAAATAAAGGGAAAAATAAAGAAAACAATGTCTAACATCTATTGCTGAGTACAAAAAATACATTGACGTCAACTGATTTGGCTGCCAAACAAAAATATATTTATATCTGCGCTGTGAAATTCAAAGCCATCTGCTCGAAACGGTGGGCACGAGGAGGTAAGATTGGCTAACATAATTTAATTAGGACAATTAAAAGAAAAGGAGTCAGAAATTGCCATTATATTTCATATTTCCTCAATTTCAGTTTGTCCTTGAAAAAAAAAAGTCGTAAGCCAATAGGCCTTAGTTTACACTAGTTTGGGGTTGGTAATGACTTAATTCTTTAACCTCACTTGTGCTCATCAAGTCTTTATTTGCTCAAAAATAAAGCAAAAACAAAAATATTTTTAAAAAATCAGTACCGTTGAAAACAACCGATTTCTATTTTATCACATTTTAAAATGTAATTTATTCCTGTGATGGCCAAGCTGAATTTTCAGCATCGTTATTCCAGTCTTCAGTGTCACATGATCCTTCAGAAATCATACTAATATGCTGATTTGCTGCTCAAGAAACATTTATTATTACCAATTTTGAAAAGTTGAAAAGTGGTGCTGCCTAATATTTTTGAGGAAACCTTTTTTTTTTTTGCAGGATTCTTCGACGAAAGCATTTATTTGAAATAAAAATCTTTTGTATCATTATAAATGTCTGTCATCAATTTAATTTAAAATACATATTTGATCAATTTTATTAATTCTTTGCTATTTGCTATTGCTAAAGGCATAAACATATATTCTAGTGAGATTTTTTTATTGGACAAAAAACTGGACATGCCCATAAGTGCAAGATGGGTCATCAATATTTTTAGTGCATTTTGTTAGAAGACAAAGACTGTACAGTATATATTACATGCATATACTGTATATGCTGAAGCACACTAGCATATAAGATATCAATTCATTCGTCACAAACAGAAAAGATGACACATATTCGTTGAACATAACATGCATTTAGTACATTTTCCAGCCTTGGAGCCAGAATCCCATCACGTTATGTACGAAATGCAAATGAATGCTTCAGTTGCATATTAAGCCTCACACTCAACTTTCAACTCATTCGCCTCCAAATGCGTCACCGCATCTGCCACTACAGCCTCGTGCATGACTCGCTGCCAGGATAAGAGCATGTGTATCGGCTCACGACTCTGAATGACCCCATTCCACACCTGTCTTTAAGCTTAAAGTTGCTCAATCTAAAAGACCCTCCGCACAGTGACAGCACACACACACATTAAAGTGAGAGGAGTGCTGTAATTGTTTTGAAGCCACAAACAAGTCTATTAGTCACTGCACACTCATAGTGCAGCATTTTCATTCTCACACAATCTAACATCCACTTGACTGCTTTACGAACGACTCGTTTTGAAAATGCAGATCATTTCTGTATACTTAAATGGAGCTCGTTTGAACAATTAGAAGCAGAAAAATATGATGACCTACATTTATACTACAAAAACAATGCAGTGTTTGTGTAACATTTCTCCATTCTCTCTCCGACACACGCACATAGAGGATGTGGATTGCAGATCATTAACTTTGATAGTGTTTGTGTTGTGAGAGAGACTGAGCGACTGTTTTTGTCACTAGTCTGCTATCTTCCTGACTCCTGTAAGGCAAATACACCAACCCTACGACCACAACAATGCAATAAAGATGTTTCAGAGGACAGTATTGATCACTAAGTATACACATAGGCTCAATGTGTGCTGAATTAGCCTTGATGTTTATTATCAAATGTAAAGGTTGCTATAGATTGTTAAAAAGAAGAGTATATCTTATAGAGAGGTATCAATTCCTGGCATTGGCAAATCTTAAGAGCCAATATTTGGAGTAGGACTCAAAAAAGGAAAAAAAATAAAAAAAAATATATATATATATTTCAGCAGTGTTTGCCACATAAAGTACACTTTGCTAAACTAATACAGGAAAAGTGGGACAGTTCCTGATAATTTATCATTGCCATTGTTTTTAAATACGATACAAATGGCAATGTCAATGACCCATACTCATTTAGAATAAATGGTCACCTAAATATTATTATATTTATTTATTTAAACAACATTTATTCACTAAGAATGCATTAAATTGATCAACAATGACAGAAAAAGACATCTATAATGTTAGAAAAATTATTCTATTTTAAATAAATTATGTTCTTTTCAACTTTCTATTTCCAAAACAATATTAAGCAGCACAACTGTTTTCAACACTGATAATAATAAATAATAAAAAGTGTTTTTTGAGCAGCAAATCAGCATTTTGAATTATTTCTGAATGATCATGTGACACTGAATAGTGGAGTAATGATGCTGAAAATTCAGCTTTGCCATCACAGAAATAAATTACATTTTAAAATGGGATAAAATAGAAAACAGTTATTTAAATTGTTATAATATTTCACAATATTTCTGCTTTTACTGTATTCTTGTATTCTACTATTTTTGATCAATTTAATGCAGACTCTGTGAGCATAAAAGTCATTTCAAAAACATTTTAAAAATCGTACTGAACAGTTTGAATGATAGTGTACTCACTCTCATGTGGATCCAAACATATATATATATTTCTTTCTTCTGTGGAAAACAGAACTTTTTTTTTTTTTTAATGTTCCCATATTTTTTGTCTGTAAAATGAAAGTCCACTGTTGACTTTTAGACCCCATAGACTTTTATTGTATGGACAAAATGGGTTGAAGCATTCATAAATTACCTCAGTCATGACATTTATTCATGTAAGTAATGTATACATAACTCAATAAAGCTTAAGTGTCCTAGTTTATCTGGTTTAGTTTATCTTTTTATTCGAGAGTTTTTAAAGCAGCCCAGAACTGTTCAACACACATCTGACCTAGATTTGCTCAACAAAATGTTTATCAGTGAAAATCAGAGATGTGGACTTGAGACTCCTGACTTGAACTCAAGTCACAATGTCGATATCCTAATGCTTGGCAAACATTATATTTAAGACTAACATTTGCCAGTTAGTTTTGAAGTTGGAGACTGAGCTTCCCCCAAGTTGCTGTCAGACGGTGTTTGGAAAGTGTCAAATATGTGTATGGGGGAAAAATATCAGATATGACACTATCTCTTTGGATTTGAGACTTTAGTCTTTGCAACTTTACAGATCTTCTTTATGCACCAAGAGCTTGTAACACTCCAAAGAGAAAGGAAAACTTGAAATCGCATCATATGACCCCTTTAAGAAAGAACAATGTAAATGTCTGAAGAAATTTGGTTGTAAAAACAAGAAAAGATGTGTGATAAGTTCATAATGCTGGAATGTACAGCAATGAGTCCAATGGATGTTTACTGAGACTAAGTTTTGAGTTACATTTAATCTCATGTGTTGCTCTACTGATATTGTTTTATGTGCACATACTTATATTTTAGCTTATTTTAATACTTAAACCTGACATGAAACATGAGAATTTTCCATCATAACTAAGAATTAATGACAGTTAAAACCAGAGAACCTTGACTAACAAACTGTGACGTGTCCCAAATTCAGGCAGAAATGTAGTCATAAAGGTTAACACAGCTTTGTAGACATTAACAAAGGCAATCATGATGGTAGGTGTCACTGCATGGTGAGGTCTAAACTTATCTGCTAGCACTAAAAGGGTTTTAGTAGTTGCACTTTGGCTTAACTGTACAGCAGGTAAGACCAGTCTCATCACGTCAGGAGGCGAGGACGAGAGTGCATTGCTTACCACTTTATAAAAAAGTGATTACAAACTTGGTTTGAACTTCAACTAAAAATGCAATTATGAAAATTAAAGATTTACTAAAGTATTAGAGTTCAAATGAGGTACGTTTTGTATCCTTCTCAGTTCTGAGATGAAAAACTTTGAAAAACTTTCATCTAAAGAATCTTTAATTATGAATTTTTAAAAAGCAACATCCAATAATTCTGCTTTTCCGATAGCAGGAAACCATATAATACTAAAAGTTTGAAAACAAAAAATGTACCAGTGTTACAAAATAAAAAGCAAGCACTGCACATTTATTGTGTCTCTGCCGTCAAAATAATAATTAATAATGTGTATAATAAATCTGTAGTTTCTACAGTAAGTTAATAAGTAATTATTTCCTGCAGCAGCTTAAACTTTACATTGTTATTTATAGTTCTATTGTAATTACATTAACATTTAATGTAGACACTAGTTTAAAATGCAACTCAATGCAAACACCCAGTATGCTAAACATAAAATATTCAAAACTTATTATTATTATGTACTTTTTTTTTTTCCACAGAAGTGACATTAAAGAATGACAAATACACAAAAATATTTCAGAAAAAAAAAACAGGAAAAGAAAAGGTACCTCTAACCCCATGTCAGAGGTGTGGAGCTTCATTTTCACTTGCTGGCTTTTTTTTACTCAAATCAATCAACATAAACTGTGCTTTGTAGAAACACACAGAAGTTTGGTAAAGGTGTTTTTGTAGCTTTGTAGAAACACACAGAAGTTGTTCTGACAACATAACTGACACCCTGAATTATAAACTACTGTATAAAACAGTTTGCCTACTACAATGGACATCATATAAGTTAAAATTAAATTAGGGATGCATCGATCAGTGACTCAGTGTTGCTTCAAGCGCATCATTCTGCGCACGGGATGCGCATAAGCGCCATGTTTGTGCCGCTCTGTATTGGAGCTTTTCATATTATAATACTTTTGCGCAATGAAAGCTTATTTATAGCGTTTCTTGTTCTGTCCTATGATAGGACAGAACAAGAAAGGCTATTAATAATCTAATGTATAGCACAGTAATGGAGGCAGCAACATATGATAGATAGGACTCCTATCTTATGTTGCTGCCTTCATTACTGTGCTATACATTTAAAAGAAATGTCTTTTAATTTTATAGTGTATATTTATATATAAATACATTTATTTGTTTTCATTAATGTATTTTACAACAATACAAAGAGCAATGCGCAACATTTTACCTGATTTAGTCCTACACTCACTTTTATTTGTTCCCCACTAAATAATGTTATTTCACTAAATGTTTAGATTTTATAAAATTGTGCACTCATAATTTTTCTAGAATACCTTTTGCTGCTAAATTATCCACTAATCTAGTTTATAATAGTATTTTTGTCATAGATCATGATTATTTATTCCATGGTCTGTCTAAATACTGGATTCTGATTGGCTGGCATGTATGCAGTAAAACCGTTTAATGCACAGGTAGTTCCAAGTCAGTTTAATCACCGTTCTATATTAATGCGCTGCTTTAATTGATGCTCATAAACCCACACACATCACTTGCACACAAACACACACACACACACACAGAGGGAGTGAGAGAGAGAGAGGTTGGAGATCGCACTGCGCACACAAACTTGTTGTCAACGCTTCCCCGTGGTTTTCATGAATAAAATAGCCTAGATACTAGATCGCTACATTATATTCCTCAGCAACGAGGTGTAAAATCTATGTTTTTGAAGTAATTAATTGTTTGTAGAGAGAGACGTGCAGACAGCAGCACGCAGGTAACAACTGTCATCTCTCTCTTTCTCTCTCGATCGATAATTAATTGAAATAAATGCTATAATTCATTCAAATAAATGTGATCTTATTTCATCTCTGTGTCTGATTTGAAGCGGGCAGAATGCTAGAGGTAACTTGCTGTAACTGACGAAAATAACTAATTTTTACCCATTCGGTCAATTATTGCACTGCAAAGAGCAATACTAGTTTTAACTTGTCTATAACTTGGCAAATGACAATGGAATAAACGGGATAATCAACGGCTTGCCGTGCATTAAAAAATTTTAAATGCACTTCGTGGAGGCAACCACCCTCCGCTTGATTATTAAAACCGTTGATTACCCCTTACATATTTTTTCATTTGTTATTTTTCATTTAAATGAAGTATTCTATATTTAGTAGATTGTGTTTTACACACAAAAGAGTGATGATCAGGTCAACACACAGAAGTATAGTGTAAAATCTATGTTTTTGAAGTAATTAATTGTTTGTAGAGAGAGACGTGCAGACAGCAGCACGCAGGTAACAACTGTCATCTCTCTCTTTCTCTCTCGATCGATAATTAATTGAAATAAATGCTATAATTCATTCAAATAAATGTGATCTTATTTCATCTCTGTGTCTGATTTGAAGCGGGCAGAATGCTAGAGGTAACTTGCTGTAACTGACGAAAATAACTAATTTTTACCCATTCGGTCAATTATTGCACTGCAAAGAGCAATACTAGTTTTAACTTGTCTATAACTTGGCAAATGACAATGGAATAAACGGGATAATCAACGGCTTGCCGTGCATTAAAAAATTTTAAATGCACTTCGTGGAGGCAACCACCCTCCGCTTGATTATTAAAACCGTTGATTACCCCTTACATATTTTTTCATTTGTTATTTTTCATTTAAATGAAGTATTCTATATTTAGTAGATTGTGTTTTACACACAAAAGAGTGATGATCAGGTCAACACACAGAAGTATAGAAATTCTACATTGATTAAAAAAAAACTGTGCTGGTATCGGATCGGAATCGGCCGATACTCAGAATTTTCTGGATCGGATCGGAAAAAATGGTATCGTTGCATCCCTAAAATTAAATAAGTTAGAAATTGCCCTGCACTCGATCTAGCTATGTTTGACCGTGTCCTGAACGGCCACTTAGAGCTCATGCTGTCTGAGAGATAAGGGGAAGTGCAGCTCTCAAAAATATACAGATTCTCTGAATATGGTAAGAGAATACAGATTGTGCAAGCACCATATGGTCCCTGCTTTCGACCGTAGGTGCCATCTCCAGTTACTTCACCTGAAAACCTTTGAGAGAGGAAAATAGAGCTGCGGCTCTATTCAGTATGGCGGTAATCCATAGATTAGCCTGGAAAATTCCACACCGCTGCCACACAATGGCCCATCTCACTGTCACTCAACAGGCCCGACCAGTTATAGAAGGAAGCCGGGCGCAGTGAGGCTGGCCAGAGTGGGCATGTTTATTGTCATTCCATTCACTGTAGTCACTATAGCAACTGGCCATGGGAGTGTTACATCTGCATGTTAGAGGGAACGAAAGCTGTTTACGCATAAAGATATTAAAATTGTTTAATATGAGCCATCCATCTCAGCTGCAAAGCTTTCTGTGCATCTGCTGTAACTGTAACCATGGCTATGTATGGTGTTGGGCAAAAGATGCTGTCATGAGGGGGCAGGACTGGGACCGCCTTGGTTTCAAATGAACTTGAATATCATTTAACAAAAAAACTCTCTGAAAATAATAATGTGGAGAAGGGGTGGCCGATATGACCAAAATCTTATATCATGGTATGAGTCATTTTATTTCACGATAAGGATATATATATATCATGATGCAATTATTCTTGCTATAAATAAGGTCTTTATATCAAATTTTTGATACCATAGAAATTTCATAATTCTTGTCACCAGTGTCAGTATCACAGAAAACTAATATTAGCCTAAATTAAAAAAAACAAAAAAAACAAGCTCACTGAAAACAAGTAAACAGTCAGCGATTAAGAATAAGAAACTAATTACAAGCAATAGGACAAAAAAACTACAGTAGAACAAATAAATAAGAAATGTTACATACATTTTATAAAGTTTATATGTAAAAATAGAAATGGATATTTCTTCTTATTAAAATTACAAAATTGATTTAGTCAAGAGCGGTGAGAGATTTTCTCTCTTTTGTTGTTTGATTAACATGAATGACAGACAGCTGGAATATTAGACTGCTGTCACTTTAAGAGCTGCCCGGATCCAATGTATTGTTACACATATCTTTCTCAGCTTTCACTGAAGACCTAAATAACTGTGTTTGAGGATACTTAAAGTCGGCCATTTTGACACATACGAGTCTGCGTATGTAACTGTTCAAGGCCTATAAAGCGTGTCTGCCGATATATCGCCCATCCCAAATGTCGAGTTTTTTTATTAGTCATTTTATTGTTGTACCGCGCTTTTCTAATATGTGTTGGAGATTGTGGCTATTGTTAACAGAATCATTTCTTCACAGGATGGTTTGGGGTCAACCGAGGACTTACCGGTCTATGCTAGAGGTCATTTTTGTAGTGTGTTCAGGGTCGCAGTTGTAGAGAGAGGATCTTTAAGCGTGAGGTAGACATTTGTAACCTGGGTAAAAAAATAAAAAAATAAAAAAAAAACTTATTTAATGCAATTTAAATTAGGCACACTCTAAATTAATAAATAAATAAATGTGGGTTTTAGTGTATAAAAGTGTCTTCTAAATTATTAAATTAAAATGAAACAATGACACAAGAGGAATAAATGCAACAATTCAAGAATTCATTCAAAAGCAAACTTACCTCCAGGCCTGCTTGCTCTAAGGAAGGAAGAGAGAAGCTTGCCACAGGATGTAGGATGAGGACAATTGGTGGGCAAGACAGAAGGTGCGTGTGAACATGAATGTTTTTGTGTGCAGGGTCAATCAGAGGACTCTTGAGGTCAAGGTAGAAAAGCCTGCTGTGGGTCTCTGTGGGGTGTATGTGCTTTCAATCGTGTGTGAGACTGGAGGCACCACATGTTAGCACTAGCCACCTCCTAAGAAAAAACAACAACAAAAAAACAGACAACCTTGCATCATAATTACACATTTTATAAGTAATAAAAGTCATATGTTTAATATATACTCCTTAAGTAATTTTAACTTAACTTAATGCCTGACCTATAAAACAATAGTCAGAAATTGAATAGTTTATTGAACCTTTCAAGAAAAAGATTGCATATGTTTTTTTTGTGACCCATTTAGTATGATATAGGACAATATGGAGCTCATACTTGAGAATGAAATAACACCTCAATTTTATTAAGAACCCAAAACTGTGCAAAAATATGCAATTATTTTGGGCAGATGCTGATATATACAAGTTGAATTTCGAAATTTCTGAATTAGATTTTTTGTTGTATAGCAGACTACATACATATCATGCATATAAATATCAGTTTTCTGAATATGTCTTGTAAAATGACACTTAAAGGCAGGGTATGTGATTTTTCAAAAACGCTTTAGAAAACAATAGGGGCAAGACCCTTTTGGGGTAGGGGCGTGTTTGTTTTGGTGATTTCAAATATCAACATTGGCTACCAAAAATCACTTACTCTGCCTTTAAATGCTCAAAGCTCTGTCATTTTAATTCTGGGGGCAAAACATATAATGCAATGCAATGCAATGATGATTGAGAGATACAGAATTAAACTTTCCTCAAAAGCCTGTTTATCATATTTGATTCTCAAATTGTAAGATAAAAAAAAAAACACTGTATGGAATCAAAGTTACTTCACTCCTGTAATATTACTAACAATATAAAAGTTATTCTTACATTAAATATTTAACAGCAGAACAACATTTGTAGAAAATATACTTTAAGGCCTTTTTTCTGCTAAAAAAATATAGACTGTCAATCAGACGACAGAAGGCATGCAGTAGATGTTGATAATATAGAGAAATGTCTCATATCAAATATTATACAATCTTTATAGGACTAAGAAGAAATTTTGTAATAATACAAAAAAAAAAACTAAATTAACATAAATCTTTCCCTTGTAAATAAATGAGCAAGTATAGATGGCAAAAATTTTTATGCTGTAATAATTTTTAAGACAACTGAATTGTAACGTATAAAATATTAATAACTGATAAATTAAATAACAAATTCTGTAAGTAATAAACTTACTCATGTCATTATTTCTGTAATAGCAGCAATGCTCCTTAACCACTGTAAATCAGCGCTTAAATCTGAAACACAAACGGAAACAGAAATTAGTCACATAAACAGCTGGCTCCGGAGAAAATGCTTCAATTACATTAGAGAAATAGTAATACATTAACTTAACCGGTACTAAGAAGATTATAATAAAATAAAAACATCTGAATTAATAATAGTAGGTGTTCAGGTTTCAAGAAAAAAAACCATCACTTTGACCCAGTAAGCCTGAGAAGGGTCATGACCTTAAAGTTAAAGACCCCAAAGTCATCATGGTAAACATTCTACGAAAAAAAACGGAAAAAAACAAAACAAAACTGTGTCATACCCAAAATAATGGTTTCATTGAAGCTTAACATTTTCCCCTAGAACTAACAATTCTGTCCATCCCAAAATAAACTATTCAGCCTACTACTAGATATTTTACAAGGCCACAGATGTTGTGATGTACTGCCAAGCCTGATAGACGACTTGGCAAGACCTTCTCCAAAGATAAACATTCAGTACTGTAAAACCAGGGCCGAAGTTCAGCTGTCATAAGAACAGAACTTATGAGAATATACAGAATTCACTGCACCTTCATTACTAGTTAACTGCAGTTTGATGTTCACGATACTGATCACAGTCTTACATAATTGACATTAACATACCGGGTGTCACCTAGAAATAAAAATTGTGCCAAAATTTACTAATATGCTCATGTCGTATTATATATCTGTCCCATTTCCTTCTGTGGAACATAAAAGAAGATATTTTGTTGTGTTTTAACTGTTTTCGTCTATACAATGAAAGTCAGTGGGATCCAAAACAATAGTCTGGCCCTCTTTAATGTGTTCCACAGAAGAAAGAAATGTGCATACATTTATAGTGTTGGTTTCTATTAAATTTGTGTGTTTGCAAAAAAATATAAAATAAAATATAACATTTATTTTTCATATATTTCTACTGGAAGTACTTAAATAAATAAATAAACAAATATTATAAAATAAATACAATGAATGAATGAATGATTTTATTATTAATTTAATTTGTTCATTTTATTACATAATTAAAATTTAAGAGCATCTCCCATCATGTGGGAGTGCATACATCTTTGTAAAATAAGAATAGGCACTGTCTCTCTCTACAGGAAAACACCCAGCAGGAAAGAATCAGTAAGTGTGAGCTGGGTGAGGCATGATGAAGCTGTAGTACCCTGACAAGTTGCAAGACATGTCCAAGGAAGTGCATGTGTCAAAGGCACACACCCCTGAGGCCAATCTATATATAGCAGGGGTGGTGTGGTATTGCCTTCACTCATATTAGGTTTCCATGTTCCAACAGGAAGACTGCAATGATCAATGAGCAACTTATAGAGATGACAGCATCCTGTTCTTTTCATCAAGACAGTTAGAAAGCTAAAAAAATGCGTGGGCTGCAGTTTGCACTTTCTAATCCCCATTGACTTCCATAGTATGGAAAAACTGCTATGAACATCAATGGGGACTATCCCTTTAGAAACGTTTTCGTTACATTTTTTTCTTAAAATACAATACAATGCATTTTTTAAACAAATGTATTAAAATATCTACTGTAGATATAAAGTCATAGCAATATGAGAATAAAGTCGAAATTACGAGAATTAAGTAGAAATATTTTCAAAATAAAGTTGATATTACGATAATAAAGTCGTAGCGATATTTTGAAAATATTTTCGAATATTTTCAAAATATTTTGAGAATAAAGTCCAAAATTTGACTTTGTTTTCATAATTTTGACTTTTTTCTCAAAATATTTTGACTTTAATCTCATAATCTTAGTTTTTTTTTTTTTTTAATGTGACACTAAAACGGCGCCATAGTTTGTATATAAACCATCACATTTATAAAGCTGGAATAACAACAAAGAAACCTCTGGAAGAAGTTTATTTAGGTGATTAGCTCAGTTAAATTAGCTGCTAACGTAGCCACATTCCTTTAGCTGAAAAGCAACACAACCTCAAAACAGCAAACAAGACGATGGTTGTAATGCACTATGGTCCATGGTGCCCGGATGTGTGGTGACCAGAGGAAAACAAGTGTGCTAACGATGGTTAAAGCTGGTAATGATGGAAATCTCTCTTTCATGTTTTTACTATGAGTGTCTTGTCACATGCAGGTCTGGACCTCCGGTCACGCCACGCTGCACACCAGCTATGTCCCCCGAATGATCACTACATGTGACTACTGACCCAGACAACACACTCAAAGAAAATAAACGACATTCCGACACAGCTCAGACTCAATTCAGCCACTCCTGCAACACAAACAGCCGCAAACAAGCAACCAGACCAGAGGCAATAAACCTAAGACAAAAGCACACCCCTTGTTTCTATTTGACTTCTGATTTTTTTTTTTAAAGAAATTCATACTTTTATTCTGCGAAGAGTAATTAAATTGATTAAATTAATTAAAGTGACAGTAAAGACATTTATAATGTTACAAAAGATTTCTACTTCAAATTAGTTATTCTGAACTTTCTAATTAAAGAATCCTGGAAAAAAATATCACAGTTTACACAAAAATATTAAGCAGCACAATTGTTTTCAGAAATGTTTCTTGAGCAGAAAATCAGCATATTAGAGTGAATTCTGAAGGATCATGTGACACTGGAGTAATAATGCTGAAAATTCAGCTGTCATCACATGAATAAATTACACTTTAAAATATATTAAAATAGAAATCAGTTATTTTAAATTATATTTATTTTTACAGTTAAAACAGTAACATTTGTGACCCTAGACCACAAAACCAGTCTTTAGTCGCTAGGGTATATTTGTAGCAATAGCCAAAAATACATTGTATGGGTCAAAAATATAGATAGTCAGCTTTCAGATGACGTATAAATCTCAATTTCGAAAAATTGACCCTTATGGCTGGTTTTGTGGTCCAGGGTCACATTTCACAATATTGCCGTTTTAACTATTTTTTGATCAAATAAATGCAGTCTTGAGCATAAGAGACTTCTTTCAAAAACCTTTGACAGGTAGTGTAAAGGATGCCAACAAAACACAAAATAAATCTAGATATTTGTAGTACAAATATGACTGTTATGCTACCAAAAGCATAAAATACTCCTGTAGAACATCAAAAGGAATTTAAAGGAAATCCGTCAGGATTTTAAAACACAGCTCCTCCTGCAATTTCCTTTGACTGTCCGGAAGCAAAACATTATTCCAACACAATACACATCTGATAAAAACCACACAATAAACAATAAGATTAAAAAAAAAAAAATTATTATTAAAAATAAATAAAAACACACACACAGTTAAAATAATAATAATAATAAATCCTAGAATTTTTATACATTTGGAACAAATACAAAAGGATTTAAATGGGAATTGTGTTACGGGATAAAAACATAAATCACATTTTCTAGCACATCCTCCCAAAATATTATCATTAGAGTATTATGAGCAGCAATATAATATCCTTGTAGCATAACAAAAGGAATGTAAAGGAAATATGCCAGGAATTTTCTTTCAACTGTCCTGGGTAGGATTTGTACTCTACAAAGATTATACAATATCCAGGACTCTAAGAATAAAAAAAGAATCCTTTGGGAGTTTCAGTTCATCCAGGAGGATCATTTTGGATTTCAATGGGATCATTAAAGATTACAAATTCAGATAGAAATACTCAAAATAGGATTCAGGATTGTTTGACAAGGGACACAAAACAATCCTAACGGACTTCGTTGAAATTCCTTTTGATGTTCTTTCTTTTACTCACTGAAGATATTTGGCATTTAGATGCTTCCCAGATATGAGTCACAAATGTTACCGGAGTATCAGTTCAACAAGAAAAAAGAATTGCTTCACTACAACACTAGGAATCCAAAGGATTTCTTTGAATTAGGAGGCAACATAAAAAGACTTCAAAATAGAAGGTGGGGGATTCTGGGAAAAACACATGAGAAGGGCACATGTGAAGAGAGAGAGACGACGGAGGAGTGGAAAAGGATGTAGGGCAGAGTGGAATATTTTCAGTTCACCGAGACATGGAGTCAATTTCGCAAAAGATTTGACAAAAAGCAAGGCATGCTAAACCGTGAAGGAGGGTTCGACAGAGAAAAAAGGATAAGGCTTGCAAGAAGAAAAAAATGAGGGGGAGGGTTTGTGAAAAAAAACTCATCATGGTGAAAAAGGATAAAACGAGACATAAAAGCAAAAGAGTAAAAGAAAAAGAAAGTAAGGCAGTCCCCAGCATTTCCTGTAGAGCGGTTGTGGCGTTAACAGTAGGCTGAGCAATGGTTTTGTAACTGTGATGTCAGTAGCTGCTTCCCTGACCCGCTGACCCAGTGACCTACTTTTGCTTCTCTCGCTCACCGTTTCTCTCTTCCACTGCGACTTAATCACAGCTCAACAGGCAGCCGTAGCTGCAGCCAATCAGGCGACGGGCTGAGTCGCAACACACTCGCTATCAGCAAATCAGGAAATCAGGACTAGCTCACCACAAACAAACGGCAGCCAATAACACGCTGAGAAAGAAATAAAAGGATTTTTCAGCCAATCAAACGCAGAGTCTACAAACTCTCAGCTAACCAAGACACAGAGTAGTGTCAAAGAAGGGAAGGAAAATACGAGAAATAGCAGAAGGAAACAGGCTAACAAAACCAAGCTTCTTCTCTTGCCGAGAGTGACATTTACCTATTCGGCCAAAGTCAGCCAAAACAGATCTGCCTAAAGCACTAGGTTAAAACCAGATAACAAGCGCATGACAAACAAACAAATTCTTCCTCCACTCTCTCGCCACACTCAAACAAATGAGGTTTCTCTCTCACACACACACCCACGTCTACCCTTAGGGGCTCTGTACGCTATAGACTGGGCTGGGAATATTTTCACACAGTTGTGCATATCTTGAATTGTACCTGGACACAAACAGTCACAGATGGACGATATACAACTGTGCAAATTGCATATTAGGATTCCACTGTGCTGTCATTTGCCCTTTTTGACTCTCAAGGGGACAGTTAATTTAAAAAAAATTATAATTCTTTCAATATTTAC